GTCACAACCGCCGCGAAATGACTCGTTTCACTATCCAAATTTGATCCATTCAGTCTGATAACATTTTTAAAGTCTATAAGATGCGCAAATTAAATTATTTATCCCCATTTAAGTTAACAGAGGGCTAAACCGGAAGTTAGCCGGCTCTGTCAGCGGAAGTGTTTAGTGCGCATGCGTGTTTTTTTGTAGTTTTATTACAGAAACATTATTAAAGCTTAATAAAGGTGTTTTTTTAAACTTTATTTACACACAGGTAAATGCCAGGGGACAGACAGAAATCATAAATCAGTTAAATAAATGATACAACATAAAGTTTAGGTTGTTTTTCTTATTTTTACTGTATGGGAGTAATGATAAGATAAGATATTCCTTTATTTGTCCTACAATGGGATGTATTGTTTGATTAAGATGGTACATAACTGGAGAATTTAGATTTGTGGATGTGAAAGGATCAAACTGATATATATATATTACTGATTTCTTTTGATAGCAAAAAAGCCAAACAATACATTTACATATAAAAAGGGTAAAATCAGAAACAATGTGCCTTTTCTTATTGTTTCTGCTATACAAAGCATATATGTGTACACTAACTACAGTACAGTACAACTGAAGGAATATGCATGTTAATATTTACCTCTTGTTTAGTGTGCAAGCTACTGTTTCTTCCTTTTTTTTAACATTTTAATAAATATTTTAATACATTGTACAAAAAATGTCAATTGTCAAAAAATTATCACTTTGACCCACCATTATTAACAACAATAAACATATAGCCATAACAAAAGAAAGAGAATATAAAAAAAAAAACATTCAACTAAAATATAAAAAGATAAGAAAAGAAACAAAAAAACAGACATCACATTGTGGGAATTGTAAACTTACATAAACAGTACATAATATATAATATATAATTTATCATATTTTTTTAATTATTCGAGGTCCTAATGGCTTTGTTTGTTAATAATTGAGTCAAAGACAAATTGTTATTCAACACCAAACAAATATTAGGTGTGGTTTGAAGCTTATGGATATGATGTTTACCAACAAGACACATAAACTTGAGAGCATCATTAATGGGTTGTGAGTCAGTATTATTATACGGGTGTCAGAAATAGATTTGATTAGTGTTTTTACAGAAACATAACAGAGAATTATTTCTTTTAAATGTATTTAATAATTTATAACAAGGGTAGTGTCTCTGTCATGTGATGCACACTGGCCCAAAACATACATTTCCCACATAAGCTTAAACACTGAAAGTATATATATGTTTATATTTACTTATTGTTTAATATGCAAGCTACTGTTCCCTTCTCGAGTTTGTAATCTACATTTGTTTAACAAAGAAACATTCAGTTCCTCCTTCTCTTCCTCCTCACACCCACACGGTTCCTCAAATAAACCACTCATAAAAATAATGATATCAATAACATGAGCATTGTAATGCTTGAAGCAGCACTGCCATTGTTTTAATTGCACTCTGTATGCACTTCATGGCATATATTTTACCCTTTATGTCATATTGTTTCTCTGTTATATATGTTCGGTATTAGTTGGTGCAGGTTCGACTGCCTGAGCAAAAGATGCTTTGGTGGATCTGCTGCAGCTCTGTAATGTCTGTGTCTGTGTCCTGATGTATGTGCAGTAAAAGGGCCGAGGAGTAAGTCCATTTAAACCATTAAACACCACATTTGAAGGACCAGTGTTGAGGATTTAGTGACATCTTGAGGTAAAGTTTGAGATTGCTCCATGGAAGGCGACGTCTGTATATAAACAGCTCATTGTAAGGTGACAAAAACACAA